AAGAAAAAAAACCCACTAAAGTAGGCTATTGAGAAAATAAATTTAGATTAGAAAGCAGAGGGAATACAAAAGTTAAATGTCATTAACTTTTGAATCTTCTAGCATCATTGGCTTTTTAAATATTGCGCCCTTCAGCCTATGGTATACACGGTGGAGGGTGAATTCTGTGGATTCTCCCCAGCTTCTCTCCTAAGGCTTGTGAAAAGACTGACCTCAACAGCCCAGGGCCCTTCTGCCATGCATGGTTTCTTTAGTTCCTTGAGGTCTCAGTCTCCCGCTTTCAGACACGTGGGCAGTCCCAGGGCTTCAGACTAACAAGCAGCAAAAGCAATGTTACAGAAGCAGCATTTGGCATCGTGCGGTGAGTGAAGAACACAGCTAGGGAACTATTGTCCTGGGGTGGGATGCTGGGATGCTGGGCCTCCAGGAGACTGTGGCGAGACTCCCTGCAGCAGTGGGGGGATGGAGACACACCCCACACTGTGTATGTGTGGAAGAGAGAAATGGTCTGCCACACATACGGTGGGATGTCAATGGACATTTATAACATTAAGAAAAGTTTCAATCCGCCATTTTCATAAAGGAGACTCTCAACTCCTTGTGGCTGCTTTTCACATTAACTGAACACTTGCTTAGAAACGACTTGCCAATTTGAAAATAAATGTACTTCTTCCTTTTTATCCCTAAACCAGGAGACAACCAGCCACCAGCCAGCCAAATGCACATGCACACACACACACACACACACACACACACACACACACACACAGAGAGAGAGAGAGAGAGAGAGAGAGAGAGAGAGAGAGAGAGAGGCATATGCACATGAAGCAATAGGAAATAAAATTAAGTTTTAACGGCCTCATTTGCTCTAAGTTGATTTAAAGAACCTGTAGCAGAATAAACAGATCACTGTCTTCAAGTCTTTCTGAAGTGACAGCGATGAAATACAAAACGAAAGCCATACTCGGACCAAAGCCAGGTAACTTCATCCTCTGAACAGGCGTGTCTCTGGGGGCGTGTCTCTCTTACATTAATTGACAGGAGAGGGCAGAACTCACCGTGGGTGGCACCATTCCCTAGATTGGGGGGTCCTGGGCTGTCTAAAAAAGAAGAGGAGAGGGAGCTAAATCCTAGACGGGTGTGTGCCTTCGCTTTTCTCGACTGCGGTCGCGAGGACTGTCTTTAGTTTCTGCCACTTTGGTCTCCCTGTTGGTATGGACTATGACCAGGAACTGCGGGGACTCCATAAGCTGCTTTTTGTCAGGATGTTTTCTTGTTTTATCATAACAACAGAAAGACACTGGGGCACTTAGCATTTACTGAAACAGTTTAGGATGATAGATGTTTATTTATTAGCCCTGGTTCTAATAAATAAAGTTCTCTATAGGTGACAGTCTTTACACAGAAACAATTTCTGAAATATACTTGATTTATTCTCCTATTTATGCATTTGCCACCTCACTGATGGTTGGGAATTTAGTTAGTTAGTTAGTTAGTTAGTTAGTTAGTCAGTTAGTTTTTTGAGACAGAGTCTCTTTAAATAGCTCTGGATGTCCTGAAACTCACGATGTAGGCCAGGCTGGCCTTGAACTCACAGATGCCCCTACACAGCTTCCAAAGTTGTTGGAGTTAATGGCATGGGGCACCACACCCAGCTTGATGGATTGTTTTAAACTGTGTGCTTTATAAATCTCAAGCATAGGGTAACATCCATGATTAACTAAAAGCAAGAGCAGGGAAGGCCTTAAGTATCACAGAGGGGAGTGTGAGGATAAGAAACTGGCACCTGCGGAGGAGAGACGATTTCATTCTTACACAAAAATTGGGCCCTGTGAAGTCAAGTCAGCTTGAAAGCACTGCCAGGTTTCCTGTGTAATGGCTGAGCAGAGGTCTAGCTGTCTGTCAACTCATTGCTGAAGGTGGGTGACGGCGGCGATTGCAACAGAGGCCTCTAGAAAACATTTGCTAAGCTCACCTTTGACCCTGCCACACGGTCCCTGACCCCAAGTTTGCACACCTACACAAGGGGTTGCAAAACTGTGCTAGGCTTCTCCTTTGGGGAGATCCAGCATACACAGCAGTCTCTGGCTATGGGTGAAGGACACAGGGTACTCATTAAACTCTTCCTGTAACTGCTCCTCTGTCTGAGCCTTTCAAAATAAAGTGCTAAGACAAGAACTAAATATAATCAGGACAACAAACAGAAGCACACTGCCCTTCGATCACATTTGCCTGAGAAGAGACATGCGGGGGGGGGGGGGGGGGGGATGTGATAGTTTTAGATCTGTGGATAACCAATGGGTACGCTTCAAAGGAATTTAAAGTCCAACTGAGAGAATCACGTGAACCTGATAGGTAAAATGATTTTCACCTGGTTTTAGCCTTTGGCGACATGTTAAGGTCACCTATGAAGTCATAGCAGCTTCAGGGATGACACTGTGCTCAACAGTGCTCTGTGGTCACCATTGTCGTTCAGACTAGCATTAGGTCAGAAAGACGGAAGGAGCCTCTGACGAACATGAGCATACGGGTAATCCCGAAGTCCAGCTAGCAACCAGAAGGTCTCAGGCTGTTTATTGAAAAGCAAAGGATCATTCTAGTAAATAAAGGTTAGCACTGGGAAATCTCTGCTTTTAAGGCCTGCAGATTGAGCTGGGCCTGGTGCCCCAGGCGTTTAACCTCAACACTACTTTCTAGATAGATTTCCACATGACAGATTGCTCAAGAGGCACCTATGTCTGCTGTTTGACCACTGAAAATGGACTCGATGGTCTCTGCTTCCGTGGACCGACTGTGGCTTTACTTTAGGCTCCAGGGACTCATTCTGCGCTCCGTGTTTGCTTAAGGGAGAGAGCAAAGGTCTGAGGGGCATGCTTTCCACCTGCTTAACTCACTGAACTTGTATAATTCCAAATTCTACTTCCAAGTATTCTGTATTCTGAATGTGTGTATGTGTGCGTGCGTGCGTGCGTGTGTGTGTGTGCACACACACCTTTGTTAGAAAAAACAGCCTACATATAAAAGAGACAGATCCAAGGCCTTGTAATTCTTGGGGTTTATTCTTTCAAGGTTTACACAATGACAATTTGCCCAGGCTGGAGTTAAAGCTGAAGAAAAGTTTCTCAGGGAAGCAAAAGCAACAGCCCAATGCCTGGCATTCACTGCTAAAATGTGAGCCAAAGACTTTCAGAAAGTCCTGAGGGTCAATAGATGGTGGCGGGGGACACGGGGGAGCAGGGAAAGGGAGGGAATTTCAAAATCAACAGTAATTTTTCAGACTGCGTTGGGGGAAGAACACTGCTGGGCCCGAGTGATGTTCACGGGAGTGCAGGCAGTTCCTCAAGACTTTAACTTCCGGTGTTTGGACATTTTCTTTGTTTCAGGAGTGGGGTTGTTGGATCACCAAATCAATTCATTTTTTGAGGAATTCACATTTTGTACAGGGGTCTCTTTATTTTATAATCTCCTTAACAACAGGATGATAGGAGGCATGGGACAGGAGGGGAGAAGGGGGAAATTGTGATGTGTATGAAGTTATGGGAATGAGTAAGTTCTAGAACTCCCCTGTAGCCAGACGTGCAGGACTGTGCACTTTAAAAATGATGTCATGTCAAGTGTTGGTACCTTAAGACAATGAAGCAAAGCAGAAAGACACTAGGGAAGTTCAGGAGGTTATGGATGCAATACCATGTGGGCAAAGGGCACATGTGTGCAGGCATGTGAGCATGTGTGCAGTAAAGAGGTTTGATTTCGTGTGAGCATGTGCAAGCATATGCAGGCAGGTTTCCCGGCTTGTTGTTTTGTATATGTATATGAGACGCAGGCGTGCAATGAAAGGGGCAAGAGATGGTAATGGGAGATGTTAATCATCAGCCTTGCCTCTAAGAGTGGGACTCGGGTGCAAGGCATTCAGACATTGGTAGTAAAGAGCTAACTTGAAGCAGGTAGGTAACTTGGGCAGAATTGTCTGTCTCTGGGGCAACGTAGAAGATACCAGGATGGCAGGTGCGGAATAGACTGTGATTTGGTAGAATCTATGGCCACAAGGCCAGGCAAAAATAAAGCAACGGGACAAGAGAGAGCATTTCTGAGCAGCAAATTAATCTTTGTTTACGTAAGTGAAAACTGAGAAGATGGGATTGGGGACACTAAGTCTGTACAACAGGCAGCAAGGACAATGGCGGGGAAGGAGCACTGAGCTGGGGTCCGTTGAAGGAGTGTTGCGATGGATGCCCATGGGGAGAGGGATAAAGGATAGTAAAATCTACTTCCACCTTGGTTCCAGTGTAACTTTCTACAGAAAGAACAATCTGAGGATGACGGGAAACCTGGGCCTCCTCGTCCACCATTTCCCTAAGAGACGCAGTGAGACTTCCTCTAACTGCTTGCTTGGACTCTGCTGGTTTGAGGTCCTCGTGAGAGGCAGAACGGTCCTTTCCCCACGGACTCTTCAGGTGTTCGATGTCAGCTCAGCAGACATCTGAGACTGTGCACACACCTTCCTGCTTACAAATTCAGATCCTGACAGCATGGACCCCCCCAGATAACAAAACAATAATTTATGATAACAGGGGCCGGTTTATGTAAAAACCTGTTAGGAAGATGATCTTTTGCAAGATGCCTTACATAAATAAATGGGATTTTTGAAACCAGACTTATAAACATTGGCTTTCGTTTGTGTAATGCTTTTCTCCAACAGGGACGGACGGTGCCTCCCCTGAAAAGCTCTGTGGTCAGCTGGAGTCAACAGACTCTGTTTGTTATGCCCCTCTCGTTAGTTCTCTGCATGGAAGGTAAACGCAGGCTAGAGAGGAAGACGATCTGACTCCAGCTCCTACATCAGGAGGCTCACAGCCACTGTAACCCCAGCCCTGGGAGAATCTGACCCCTCTGGCTTCTGCAGGCCCCTTCACTTGTGGTGCACCTATCCAGACACAGCCACACAATTGAGAATAATACAAACGTAAAATAAAAAGAACACAAAAGAAATATCCACGTGCTGTTTTCAATGTCTTTATCTTTTGCCTTTCCGAAAAAGACACAACCAACGATTGTTCTGAGTTTTAGTGGGTATAATGTAACAAAGAGGATTGCAACAACATACAGTAAAAAATGTCACACATAGAAGAATAAAAGTCTACACTTCGGGGACTACTACTGTGGGAAGAAGGGCCTGATCTTCATAGATATCTTCCTCATTGAGTACCAGGATCCCTTCCAGTTCATCCACACCACACCGTCATCTGTGCCGTGCTTGGCCATGTCCCAGCTGTAAAGACCACCCCAGTAGTATCTGCCATTTGGATTGGCGGAGTGGCATCTGTTATACCACCATCCACCACCATCTTCTCTTGAGCACTGTTTCCGAGGATCTGAAGTTAACCTGAAAGGAAAGGAGTTTGAGGGATGATGCAGACAAGGCCCACTGTCGAGTCAGTTCTTTGGAGAGAACCCACGGGAGAGGACCGTGCTCAGTTACATATGGTACTCTAGCCCTTGAGTCCTGAATGCAAAGCTCAAGAACAGCAAAGGTCTTCTCTGCCCCCTAACGAGAAAAGGGAAACAGCTGGGCCTATCTGGTCTAATCCTGAAGGGATGGGATTGTTTTATTCTGAAAGAACTTATCTGATACTGTAGTATGAGAGACCCTGAGATATGAAATGGTCGTTTCAGTAGACCCGTTAGTGAATAAGAACACAGACGTTTATGCAGACACACAAAGCTCAAGGAGTTACACTCTACTTGCTGTTCTGTGTCTGAGTAGTTATCTGGCTTTGGGTAAACTTGTTTCTCTAAATTTCATCTGAAGGATGAAACTGATGACGTCTGCCTTACAGTTGGGATGCTTTTCATCAATACGTCTGGAGTTCCGGACAGGGGCTGCCTGATACACTTCAGGTGTTCAAACACGGGCAGTTGTTTATAACGTTAGGTACATTCACGATGATGAGACTTAAAAAGGAGCCAAGATGGCAGCGCTTACCAGCCGTCGTTGTCCCTGTCGTACGTGCTGAAGAACATGCCGTTGTGGATGGTCATGGTTCTGTTTATCCCCACCAGCTGAGAGGCTCCCTCCATGAGGGCATTGCCAGCCGTTCCTTTGTACTTGTTCACTGAGACTTGGTACTTGTTAGCCTCGTTCTGCACTGTGAACCCTCCATAATGGGCCTTCACTTTGTCACCTTTCCAGTCCTCCATTTCGATCAGAAGTTCTGTGGGTCCCATCCTTGTAAGCTGGCTAATCTTATCGTTCCCAAGCCAATATTCACCTAGAGAAAATGAATGCAAAATATCAGGGGGGGAAAAAGGGCTCTGGCAACTACGCGCAGCTCTTCCACCCTGGCAACTACGCGACGCTCTTCCACCCTGGCAACCACGCACCCCCTGGCAACTACGCGCAGCTCTTCCACTCTGGCAACCACGCACCGCCCTTCCCACCCTAGCAACCACGCACCCCCTGGCAACCACGCACCATCCTTCCACCCTAGCAACCACGCACTGCCCTTCCACCTTGGCAAACACGCCCCTCTTCCACCATATCTTTAGCTCCCACATTTAATTTTTTAACTTTTATTTAGTGTGTGTGTGTGTGTGTGTGTGTGTGTGTGTGTGTATGTGTAGAAATCTAAAAACAGACCCCTATCCTTGATGTTTTTAATGGGGGAAAAAAACACATTAAACTTGACGAATTTCATTTTGCGCCCGAAGTCTTTACCTGGCAGGCCACAGTACTTCTTCCCATCTTCGTTGGTTGCAATATTTCCAAATCCTTGTTTGTACGGGTCCCATTGCCGGCCAAAGTCGACACTGCCATCCTGACGGTTCTGTATGACTGTCCATCCTTTAGAAATAAAATTAGCCTAAGGTTACCAGTAGTAACATCACTCTGAGAGGAGAGTCTGTACCCATCGCCCATTTGTTTGATTTTATACTTGCTTATGTTCGGTTCTGGTTGTAGATAGTATAAAGAAATAAGTATGAGGGGAGACTTCTTAAGGTATTTGTGAATGCCAGGCCCCACATGTCATCTTAATGCATGCGTCAAGGATCTTTTAAAGCTTTTCAAATACCAGACTGAATTTCCAATCAGCTGTGTAGGAGCAGAGCCGTGTTTCCCAGCAGCCAGGATACTCAGAGAACGCTGACTGATGGGCTTACCTCCGTTTTCTGTCTTCATGTCACAGTAGACTCTGTACGGTTTGATGGAGGTGTCCGGCTGGATCAGATACATTTCGGATGTCTCCCCTCCTTTCCTAATGATCTCCTCACACTCTGCAAGAAAGCATTGCTGCGTTGGGTTCAGGGACAGAAACACAGTCTTCAGCCACTCATTCTGACTACACTGGATACAAAGGATCACTTTCTCACAAGCATTTGGGAATAATGTCCTATGGGTTGGGCCTTCTTTTCACTGACAATCAACTTAAAGTGTGAAGAATTCTGTCAAGTGAATTATAAAGCTCCCTTTATCTCCCATCCCTGCAAACAGAACACACGGTACTAGGAAACACCTCCATCTTCCCACGGCCCACCATCTGTGTATGTCCCGTGCATGCTACGCAGCAGAGCTCGGTGGAGTCATCCGCCAAGACAGCGCACAACCAGCCCAGGGAACAGCCACAGTATGCAGAAGATCTTTCTGTTCTGCTGGGGGAGAGCTACAGTGTTCACTTTCCAGTCTCTGTGTTTGGAGAGCGCTACATCTCCTGGAGCTCTACGGAGTTTGTGTGCGGACTCGGTACCTTTGCCAGACACCACAGGGATGTTGCAGCTGACCGTGCACGGGGTGCGGCAGTAGTCCATCTGCGCCGAGATGTCAGATTCGAGCTTTTGTATTTTGCTCCTCAGGGTCTCCAGGATTGAGCGGAGCACACGAAGGTTAAGGGGGATATTATCGTTCACGGTCTCATCAATATATATCCTCTGGTCTTCCAGAATAGAGGAATACTCACTTATGACATTTTCATTATCTGGAGAAAGCAAAATGATGGAGGGATGGTTGGCGGTTTTGTCTATGAAAGTATATCTAGCTACATAAATATGATTTTGATTTTCTAAGAATAAGTAGACTGAGGTACCATCAAGCAATCAGGACTGTTGAACTTAACATTATTTAATAACGAACATTAACATTATTTGTCTCATGGTACATATAAATTGGCATGCAGTCCTACTGCTACTCCAGAGATTTGCCCTGGGTACAAGCTAAAGATCATACGTGGAAAACAACAACAACAACAAACTGTGTCTTTCTTTGGTGACCAGTATCTGAAGACTTCGTCCCCACAAGAAACATTACAGAGCAGAGGCACCTGGCACTTGCACACCCCACCTAAAGAGCCTTGGAATTGGCGAGCACCTCTCAGGATTCTTTTGATTGCTAAATGTCTACACTTGAGTGAGCTCTTCCTAAAAGCCTGTGCCGTGCTGACACTCCCAACTGGCTCCTCCCCACCAGGTTCACAGCTCTCAAGGTTTACAAATCAGATGTCCCTGCGTGTGTGTTAGTTTATGCCACGCCGACTGTCCTCACGCTCAACACCTCAGGGGTTCGACTTAGAAACACTAAGTTTTTATTCTGTGCAAGTCACGAGACAGATGTCTGATGGGCTGAAAATAAGACACGGTAGGGACACGAGTCATAGAAAGTCATGGTAGTGAGAGCAGCACCGGGACTAACTCTCGAGGAGTCCTAGTCAGGTGAGCTGCAGTCGAAAGTGCCTGAGGGAGGGACCAGGGTAAGCAGGGGCGGAGAAACCAGCCCCAAATGCCGGGTAGCCTCAGATGTTTAACTACCCACATCTGTGAATCCACGGTTAAGGGTTTTCATGCTATAAACGGGTCACACAGAAACCCCCAGGATGGCTACCTTTAGCCTGGGCCTGCTTCTTTAGCCACATGTCTTTGAGCAGCTTCATGTACTGGAAGGTGGTGGAGGAGGACTCCGAAATGGACTGTATGTTGCCTTTTAACTCGGCGACGCTGGCCTTGATCGGCCTTTCCTGGTTGACCAAGGCCTGCTGCAATTGGCATCCTGTAGGACACAGCACTCCCTACAAATGAAGAAAGCGGCCGGCGTCAGAGTGATGGATATTTGTTTAAAACATATACTAGGGAAACTTTAGGGATCTCACTAGTCAATTAAATTTGATATTCCGTTTTCTTTATGGAAGACCAGAAACCTTAGAATTATCGGCATACTCTTAAAAAAGAACAGAAATAGTCCTTGCCACAGGAAATAAAAATGTAATCGGGCTATGAAAAATTTTACCCAGCCCAGTGAAGAAAGTAGGCAAAATACAAAAGAAAAGGCAATGTCCAAATACCCTGGCTTGTTATCTTGTGTCCAGACCCAAAAGTCCAATAAAAGAACGGTGAGTAAAAAATAAAAGATTCAAAGAAGTTCATATTTTGAATTTTAATTCTTAAAAGAGCAGTGATAGAGATGTTGGTCCATGAAGTATTAAGCTTTCTCTACACAGGAGACCCACGCTTGTAAAAACCACTAATGCCCCTACCAGGTCTTGGTCGGCGTGAAGACAGCCTCCTGCATCAGGGGCTTTTCGTTCCGCTTTCCTCTGGCTGACAGCAGTTTTGGCTGGACGGGCTCGATAACCACCTCCGCTGATAGGAGGCGGGGCGGGTCTCAGGCTAGGAGCCTCTTCCTTTCTCCTGTCATAGGGTCGGTGACCACGGGCATCCAAGAGTCCCTACAGGAACCGGGCAGGAACACAGCGCAAGGTTAGAGAAGCTGTGAGACCTAACTAGTCCATCCTCTTGCTTCGTTAGCTGAGTTAGCACCAGCCTGAAGACTGGCTACAGGTCTCTCTGCTGGCTGCCGCAGAGTGTCTGTCTGTCTGTCTGTCTCTGTCTGTCTGTCTGTCTGTCTCTCTGTCTCTCTCTCTCTCTCTCTGTCTCTCTCTCTGTCTCTCTCTCTGTCTCTCTCTCTCTCTGTCTCTCTCTCTCTCTCTGTCTCTCTCTCTCTCTGTCTCTCTCTCTCTCTCTCTCTCTCTCTCTCTCTCTCTCTCTCAGACAGGGTTTCTCTGTAGTTTTGGAGCCTGCCCTGGAACTAGCTATTGTACACCAGGTTGGCCTCGAACGCACAGAGATCCACCAGCCTCTGCCTCCCTAGTGCTTCAAGTGGAGGATCAGCAACACGCAATGCTAAAGCTAAGGCCTGGTGGCTGGGTGGGGCTAAGACAAATCTACCCCCCATTGTGAAAGCTAAACTTTGGAACACACAGAATTGTCGGGAATCAAAATGATCCAAAAGAATGAATATTCTCAATCCACTTGGTTTAGTAAATTCCCACAATTGTTGTTAACCATTTCCCCTACTTTCAACTTTTATGAGCTGAAGATCAGGTGCTAAATCTAGCATGATCATATTTGAGACAAGATGATCTATCTAAAGAAACTTACTAGTCATAAGACAATGACTCTAACATGTTACAGAGAATTAAGACTGTGCGGGATAGGGCACTGCTTGGGTTCAAGGCTTGACCTGCTCTTTGGGAAGGTTACTCACGACTCAATTTTCCCATTTATAAAATAAGGACCACCACATCTTGTATTTGCCTTATAAGATCATTATAAAGATGAATTATTTTTACCTATGACACCCTCCGAACTATCCTTGGCTTATTATAAGTTCTCATTACAAAGATATTCCTGATAACTCCACTGTTAATTCTTCTTCTAGTATCAGTTTTCGATAAAATTGTTAAGCTGTTCTCTTGAAACTACCTAATTTCTGTGTCAAACATGATGTCATTTCCATACTTAGTAATTTTCAGAGTTTATAGACAGCCCTAGAGATTATTTGCTAACTTAAACCTCTTTAAGAAGATGCCCAAGTAGAAGAGACGCAATCAGGTGGGACGGTTTTGACGCGAATTAAATGTTTATCATTTTTGGTCGCAGATGAAGAAACCACACAACTGGGAGCAACAGCCGAGCTCTCTGCTGGTGTCCAGCTAAGCCAGCACATGAGCGGCATCTGAAGATTTACTGGCATGTGTTCATTCAATCATTATTGTATTTTACATTTAGTGGGGCGGTGCAAGGATTGAAACCCTGATAGACTGGCTTCAGATTCACTGGCTTAATTACTGATTGAATCTCTCTTCTCCCTGTCTCTCTCTCTCTCTCTCTCTCTCTCTCTCTCTCTCTCTCTCTCATGTGTGTGTGTGTACTGCTATATACTTCTAATGGGTGAGCGTTCAGGATACTAGGAAAGGTGTACATTTCCATCCTAAAGACACAGCCTTAATCAGAGCTTGTCTGCTCGAACACCAATTTAATGAAATGTGGTTTTGTTCACTGCAAACACAATTTTGAAGAAGAAAACTACCGACTTGTTTACTTGTTTTCGACTGTTGGACGCAGGTGACGCTGTCTGGCTTGCCTAGAGAAGGTAAAGTACAAATACTCAGAGAGCCAATGGGGACCCAGGCTAGGGAAAGAGCGCTTACAGAAACAGTTAAAACCAGGAGGCCCACACTGGAGCTTAACTGAAGGGTTAATTTAGGAAGAATCTGAAAGCACTTTTGAAGTAATTTATGATAATGCACCCTAATACATTCTCTACATTTTCTTACTTAACCCAGACAGTTTTCTTTCTTTTTGTATGCTCAGATAATCTGAATTCTTACATGCCTTTTAATCCAAAGGATCCTTAGTGAATCTGCTCATTGCGATATTAATGTGTATTCTGGTTTCTATTGTAGATAATATACTACACACAGTGAATTTATGATACAGTTAGTAATAACATTAAATTATTTTCTTAAACACACTTCGTTTTCATGATGTCAGAGTGATACGAATAATAAGTTGGTAAAGCTAACACTCAGACTGGGTGTGATGGCTCAGGTCTACAATGCAGTTGAGGAGCTGCGTCGAGCCAAGCAGCACACGGCTGAATCCCAGCCCTAGGGGGTTAGAGGCCAGCGGATCACTATGAGTTCATGAGAGGCCAGCCTGGTCTTACTAAGAGATTTCAGGACAGCCAGAGCTATGTAGTGAGACCCTGTCAAAAAGAGAGGAAGGAAGAAAGAAGAAAAGAAAGAAAACACGAGGAAGAAAATTTCTACAAGTAAGAAAGTTATGTTATATATTAATAATAACAATGAATATTACCTGTTAGAATTTTTAATCTGAAAAATGCCCCAAAACTTCATTTTATGTTTTTAAAATTATAATTCTTACCCATAGTCAGTAATCTTGGGATATATATATATATATATATATATATATATATATATATATCAGCAAAAGCAAACAATCTACCATTTTTCCCTTTCAAAAGACTCATTTTTTACCATCATAGAACCTATAAATTTCAAAAATTATCATTATAATTGCAATAATGTATTGCAAGAACTAAGTGAAAATTCATAGAATTAGGACGACAGAAAAGTACACCACACACTGATCAAGCCACCTTCACCCTGTGAAAATAAAGGTGCTCAAACCAGAAAACAACATATGGCCTTGAAAGATATGAAACATGTTGAAAGTCAGACAGGTCCCTGAAATTAGCAATTCAGTTTTGTAAGTACAACCAAGGCCACCTTAATTTAAACAGCTATACACTCAAAATTATGATTCCTTAATTTTATATTAATAATATTAGTAGCAATTGATAATATCTATAAAAAAATCACCGCATCATCGTAGTCATCGTCAGCAGCTTGAGTTTGAACCGAGAAAACACACAACAGCAGCAACCATAGATACTTCATGGTTTTGGGTTTTCGGAAAATTCCAAGCAGCTGCCCTTTGCCTGCAGACTTAGCTGGGAGACTGTTGATCTTATATATAATGGGTCCCCTCTTAGGCGTGGCTTCAGCAATGGTCACCTCCCGTTAGTTAATATTTGACCTTTAGGTCACTTGTTGGCTGAACCGCTTTATCATTTGAGCAACATCTTCCCAGCAAGCCTTGTTTACCCGTCAGACAGTTCTTCCTCACTGCCCCTCTAAAGCGGACACGGGGAGGCTCTTCAGTTCATTCAGTCAGAGGCATGACGAGAAATGGGGACATTCTGAAGAGAGCCCCACGTCAGAGGTCTTGTAAGATGTTCTGACTGGTCCAGGAGCTCACAAAGAAAGTGCAAGAAAAACATCTGATTCAGACCAAACCGTTTGGCCTGTACAGAAAGGGCTCAGGGAAACTATAATCTCAGTAAAGAGATGCATGTACGTTCATGCCTTGTGGCGGTCACAACATTGCTTTTGAAAGAGGCCACTGAAGTCAAGTGTTAGTGTATTATCATGTGCCTATCTTTTCTTGTAGATGCTGATCAGAATTATAAAATAACCATTTGTCTAGGCGGTAAGAGACAAACATCAGAGAAAAATTAAAAGTCCTGGCTTCTATTTCTGCCCTTAATACTTTTGTATTTTGCCTTTTTTTAATGGTTATATTTTTCAATCAATTCTAAAAACTATTATGATATCACAGATTAAAGGGTCCCATATTAAGATTATCATTATAGTAATAAAACACACAGTCAACATTTCATTTTAATATACTATATACCTTATTTTGTGTTATATTTACACGAACTGATAATTTTACAGATGTGAAATCTTCATATGTCTCTTTCAGTTAGTGTGGCCATACAGTAAATGTGGCCTGGTTTCTTCTGTCATTTCTCAAAAGCCACCACGTCTGTGTTACCGGCTCGTCCATTGGCAGTAAGAAGAATCAAGAACCTATCCACCTACCTAAATCAAAGTACATCCAAAGTCAACAAGTCACGTTTCCTGCAAGTCATTGCTCAAAAGCACTTCTGGGTTTGGACGGGAAGTGAAACAATCTCACAAAAGCACTTCTGGGTTTGGGCAGAAAGTGAAACAATCTCACAAATTTTACAGTTTGAGAAGAAAGAGAAAGCGATCTGAGTTTGGAACAAAGTTTCGAAACAGAGACATTGAATTTCTTTTCTTGATAGTACGATGTATCAAATTATTTTAGCTTAGACTGTAGAAGCAAAGTCTGAGTTTAGACACAAAAAAACACTGATCTCTTTCCCAGTCTGCACTTTATTTATCAGGATGCTTAAGCATTCTTTGAGATTCCTTTTTATTTTATCTTTTTTTTCCCTTGGGAAAATACACAATCTGACAGAAAAATCAAGTTTGTATATGTGTGTTAATCAAAAGGAGATATGAGAATATCCTTCGAATATAAGAAACACATCCTAATGATGTTTATATTTTTGCTGATTTTAAAAGAATGATCTTGAAGAGGATGAATCATGTTTCGAGAAGTATGGTATGGCTACATTTCCAGTCTCTGACAGGTCCCCTCCTAGTGGCAGTGTTAATCGTTGCACACGTCTGGGCCTCTCTACAGATGTGCAAGGCAGAGGCAGATCTTGTCTAACATGGAAGAGGAAGATCTTCAACCACCTCTCCATGCAGCTCAGACTGGCAGTCTGAGATTCAACAATCATTCTCCACACAGTGCCTGCAAGCCTTCCAAAGCACAGGTAGTGTGCTAGGGGCTGGGGATACCCTGAGGAGCAGAAAAGGAAGGCATCCCAACCACGAATCCCAGAGTAAACCCCTGAGCTGGTCTCCGTGGATACGTGCCTCGCCGGTGTTCATTGCTCTTATTTAGTTCTTAAAACCACCACCTTCCAAAGATGATGAAATTGAGGCTCAGAGGTCAACTCTTCTACCTACAGGCACAGAGGTGGCAAGGGCTGCTACCAGACCTGACTGAGTCTGCCTAACTCAGCAGGCCGTGTTCGGTGTCCACTAAAGAGCACTGTCCAATGGAATGCGTGCACACACCAGTACCAACTGTAGAGTTCCTACCTGTACCTTATGTCTGTTGCTGCTGCCGTTGGGGCCAGCTCATCTATGGTTATTACAGTCTCTATGATTGGCATACTCATTCTTAACCTCTTAACTTTCATTCATATTTTTCAACGTGGTGTATAGTGTGGGCATGGATGTTCAGACAAATGTTAGGTGATACCTTGTAACATCTTCTTTTCTCTAGAGTTATAGGCAGGTAAACAGAGCCCGGAGTAGTCTAGCAGTTCCAAGCAGACGATTCCATTTCAAGGAGAAGACACATACTAAATGTTTAGCTGTGTTTGCGCTCTGCTGCCATTGGTGGGAAGGGAAGGGAGTGCTGCTTGCTGAGCCAATACCGCTGCGGTTTTCGTATTAGTTGATCTTGTTATGTAAGTCAAGGGCAGTTGATCGGTGACAGAGAAAACAAGACTGTCATCATCCTGCCCAGCAGCTTCCGGGTGCCAAAGACAAAGACTTGTGAACCCCAATTATCAAGACACTCTTCTTGTGACTTTTTCAGTCCCTCCGAGGCCCAGCCTACATAACACAAAGCAATCTGGACTGAGTAGCAATTTTTGAATTCTTCCTTTGTGGCAGGTGAGGTAGCTCAGTGAGCAATAGAGGCAAGGATCTGGAATTTATGTGGAAAGACAAGAAAGAGAAATGAGCTACAGCAACCTGGGCTGAACCCTACAGTCAGAGAAGGCATTTGCACAATGGCTTGGTATCAACCTTCCAAGGGAAAATGATCTTTAAAATGAAAAGGGTTTCTGAACTGGGCCGCAGGGGGTGGGACTGAATTGCCTGTATCACACACCAGCACCTGAGGTACTTCATGTCTGTCAGGTGACTGGGTTCATAAATGCATGCATGAATTCATAGGTAAGACGTATCAGTGACCTTGCTTGCCTACACAGGCATGATTGGAAACACTCCAATTATTAGTCTTTTCGCATGCTCTCCTTGGCAACAGCTTACGCATAACTGTCCAGTGGAAATTAGCCCTGGAAAGTTGGAGGCCAGAGAGAACTTCCAGCACAAACATGAGAAGAGAGTGGCCGGGACACCTCCGGTTGGCCTGTCACCCTCAGCAGGAGAGAGCATGCGGAGGGATGAAGTGTACGAGGGTCACTGTCTCTGTGGACAGCTGCCTTTGTTGACCTAGTTGACCGTTGAGTGTGCAGCTGATAAGGAACCCGAGGAGGAGGGAGAGCAGGGCATTTTCTTCTCTGACCAGTTACAGATCACAGGTGTAAGAGCAAGAACAAGATGCCCCTCTGCTTCCGTTGTCCTGAGACTCTTGGGAGTGAGAGAGTGGGACCTCAGTGGTCCTGTCAGGATGACGCCACTACGGGTGACTAAGAGCGGGCGTGCTAGCCTTACCCCTTGCTAACCCTACCAGTCTCTTGTGCAACTTGAAATCTGCGAAGAAAGCAAGTAGAGGCTCGAGTCTTGGCAGCACCACAGAGAGAAGATTCGGCTGCTGCACTTCAAGAGTGAGAACGTTTCTCAGCTTAATCGTTTGATTATCCAGTTAAATCTGATAGGCCCTAGACCCTTCCAGCAGTGCCTGGTCCCACTTCACCGCGCCTATCACTGCTCAGCAGCCAGGTACACTCTTTGAAGGGAAATAAAGATTTTTATTGTTGGGCGAGAAACAGCTTGGTTAATGAAGAAAGGCTTTCCTTAAAATTCACATTACTGTCTTCACACACACATATTCAGCAGTCATCTTTATCACGTTTGTCCTGTTGGCTTAAAGGGGGGGAAAAAAAAATCCTCGGCACCCTCGTGAAGAGCCACAGTGCCATCTACCGTCCATATAAGGCAGAGCAGGATGTTAGCTGGGGCAGAGATTGATCTTTCCTGCCTTCTTCCTGCCTTCCTGCCTTCCCTTCCCTTTCTTTCGTTTATTTTTCTGTCTTGTTTTATTTTCTCTATGTAGTCCAAGCTGCCCTGTAACTCAGGTTAGCCTCAAACTCAGAGATCTGCCTGGCTTGGCCTCCCATGTGCTGTAATTAAAGGCACGAGCCTCTACCTTCTGATTCTTTTTATGGTTTTTCAAGACAGGGTTTCTCTGTGTGGCCCTGACTGTCCTGGAACTCTCTTTGTAGACCAGGTGAGCCTTGAACTCTTGAACAGGAGGCAGATCCGCCAGCCTCTGCCTCCGAGTGCTAGGATTAAAGGCGTGTGCTAGCACCGCCAGCAGCAGATGCTGGATCCCTTCAAAAACCTAAGGAAAGCCAGGCGGTGGTGGCACATGCCTTTAATCCCAGCACTCGGGAAGCAGAGGCTGGCGGATCTCTGTGAGTTCGAGGCCAGCCTGGTCTACAAAGGGAGTTCCAGGACAGGCTCCAAAGCTACAGAGAAACTCTGGTTCGAAAAACCAAAAAAAAAAAAAAAAAAAAAAAAAACAAAAAACAAAAAACAAAAACAAAAACAAACAAACAAACAAAAAACCTAAGGAAATAGGAGAAGGGCCACATCAAACAGAAACACCCAGGTTCCTACATAACACAGGAACTCTGCCTATGATTTTTGTGAGTTATGGATAACAGGGTCACCTAAGCCCTCTATTAATCTGTCGTTAATTTTCACATGGATGACATAATTCAAGAGCTGGAAGAAGAGCAAAAATCTAGCGTGCTTTTTCTCAGTATATTGCTGTTACAAGTCTGTTCGTAAGTTATGCTCCGGATGACTAAATATTGACAGATTTAGTAAGAGCTGTCTGGCAGCCATTACATAACCATAGATATATTAAGGTCTTTCTTATGTTTCTTTAGTATTATTATGATTTAAAATTCTCTTTGCTATGGTTACTGCTATCTCTAGGTAAGTTACAATATTATTTAAATCCTCAAAATGTGTTAGAGTTATGGTATTTTCTTGCAAAGTGTACCACCATTGGCCACTTTCACAGAAAATAAGGTCCTTAGGCTAAACTCATATTTAAATTTATAAATGACTATTTTCGGGCTAGA